ATGTTATGTATGCATTTTTGAGTGAATATATAGACATACTCGGTAGATAAATCTCTTATTTTTGCCCTTGATACACTCACAGAAAGAAAAGAAGAGTGTTTGATATTGCATCAAATAAGTCTTGTCTGATGGGTTTTGGGGCAGGGAAGGGGGGCTGTGCATCCACAGTTTTTGCCAACGTCACTAATCAGTTATTCTCAGCTTTTGGTGAAGCCGCTGCCTCGCCTGTCAATCAGGGTTAGCTGCAGGCGCAGAGGCAGGAGCTGTTTGGCCCAGTACATTTGAATGTCGACATTAAAATTCCACACTGCAAAATTGTGTACAAATTGGAGCTTGGCGGCCTAAATTTAGATGCAGCTGAATAGAATGTCGCAAGTGCACTGGATTCTGTCAGTCAAGGAAGTGTCGACGCCTCACGTTAAACGAGACCCACCTAGTTGTCACCATTTCCGGCCGGCTTGGAATCGGTCTGCAAGCCTGTTTGCCTGGAGTGTGTGATTCGGTGGAAGGACAAGGAGACAGCAATCAGTGATGAATATGTGATTTGAGATGATGAAGAGGCCTGGGAGGGAGGAGGAGGAGAAGAAGGAGAAGGATGAGGAGGGGGGTCTCATTATCTCACTCTAATCAGGGGACATCCAGCCAGGCAAAGAGGACTGATTAAAAAAAGACTCCTTGTCACAACAAGAGCATCGTTTGGCTGGGGCTTAGGGGCTTATTGTGAGTGAGGACCAATGTTAGTCAACCCCAATCAACGGCAAGAGACCACTACACAGTTCATCAGAGACCCCGAGTAAACAAATAAAAACGCAGCATGGGCCTCTCTGCAGACTGTTCGATCCCTGAGAGGAGAATCCTGGGAAGGGGAACTCTCTGCAGGAAGCACGACAGGTGTTTTAAGAGGAGCTTGATCACCCATCTCCGTTCCTCGGTTTCTGTTCTTTGTTAAACTCCACGTAACCTCCATCAAGTCATCTGTCAAACGGCTCTCTCCCCCTCGCCCCCCTCCTCTCTGTCGGAATATAACTTGATTTGCAATGTCTGTATCCCTGCGATTGTCCTGCGCTCTGATAAGGATCCATGTTTTCAGGGAGGGTTTGGATGTGCCACATCTAATGAAAGATCTTAATTAGATCCATTTGTGCCCAAAGGAGAGTAGATGCAATATTAAATTGTCACTCCTATCACATTCCTCCAATTTAGGCTGCAGGATACGTCTCGATCCATTTTATTTCGCCGCAGATTAATGGTGAACTTTGCTGTCACTACTACCTCCTGCATTCCCCCTCTCATCTTCAACAGAGTGCGAGAGACTCTTTCCTCTGGAAGAAAAACATCTTCCTCTTTGCTATGTATTATAAAACATTAGAAAAAATCTAATTTGCTTCCCAATTCCTCTCTTTGTGGAGCACATAAAATTGTGTCTGTCTTATTTCGAGTCCAAATTGAAGCCTTCCTGATAGTCTTGCTCTTTTAAGTATCAGCAAAATTCAGACAAGCCTCGTTGTCCTTGAAATGTGTCTTTATTTTATTGCCCATAGTAAATTTAACTTTGAAATATTTAAGTTATCTTTCTCAAGGCGAGGAGTAACAAAAATAGCTTTTTTTATTTTATTATATTATACAACTTTCTTTCTTTCTTCTTTCTTTTTTTTACATGACGTGTGTGCACTGTGCATATTTATATATAAATACACACAAATGCATAAATATATTTAAGATTTTTTTAAAAATATTTATATATAATATCAATTATATTAATAGAAATATTACTGTAAATAGATGTAAAACCTTTTCAAAATATATACTGTATGTGTGTGTATTTATATATACAAAATAAACATACACCGTATACACATATATTATGTAAACAAAAACTTTTATTTTGGATGAGATTAATCGCGATTGAAAGCACTAAACTTTATCATTAAATTTTTGTTATAATCACAATAAACTGCAAAATTTGCTGTACTATTATTTATTTGTCCATATTATCAATTTAATCCATGTAAACCTTTTTTGAAAATTCCAATATACTGTGTGCGCATTAGTCTGCAAACATCTAGCGGAGGCTCACGTAGTCATCACCTCTGATCGCCTGCACTTGTCTCCACACTGGTAGAAACCTGCAGCACAACTTGCATCTAGAAACATTCTGGCAGCTGACATTCCCCCTCACTAGAGGAAGGCAAGAAATGTTATCTAGGCATGCCGAGTCGCATCAAGCAATGCTGGTGGAAGATGACAGGGCCTGAAACAGCAACATCAGCAGCCGACTAAGAGCAACAAACTCAGCTGCTCTGCATAAATTTTATACACGCAGTATCTCTAAACACACTGCTTATACTCTATCACACCTAGTGCCGCTGCATTCTTATATCTCAGCTCTCCTGCAAGACGTGCTCTTTCATATTCATAGATTTTCACGGTTGAATTTTTAAGGTCCTGCGATAGCAAAAGTTTCTCCGATATGTCATCACTTCGCCAGACGTTTTCCCATCTCTCCGCAAGGTCCATTTCTTTCCATTTTTTCCCTAGAATATACTCGCACCTCATTACTTTTTTTTTCACCGTTCTAATTTGTCTGAAACATCTTTTCTCATCTCAAATATGTTGATGTCCCCCCCACTCCATAATGTCTGACAAAGAGTGTTTTCAAATTTGCAAGTGTAATGAGAGGCTGCGGATGGAGGTGTGAGAGTTGAATCTGCAAATCTCTCAACAGCGAGTGCAAAGTTGGGGGAACGTTCCTCTCACTGGAACACGCGGTTCAGGGTGAGCCGAAGATATTTGTACCCAACATCTCTTAGTTTATACCCATTGAGGTTAGCTTGGTACCTCTCCCTCATGACTTGCACAATATTCCCATGAATATCTTACAATACTGTGTTCGGAAAGCTGCCATGTCAACAGCAGCAAAGAGAAACAAGGACAAGCTAGAGACGCTCATGAAGGACAAGTCCCATAATAAAGGGTTGTCTGGCAGGCTATCTGCTTTTTCTATCTAAGCGGAGGCTAATCAAATTGCACGTTTGGTAGCCTGTTGTCTGTTTTTAATGATTATTTCTTTCAAGCCTTCAGGGTCACGAAACCAAAAGAATCAAAACAGCGCAACGGACATGCTTCCTGTCATCGTCTAGGTCATTATTGCGTCCAAGCCAGCACTCTGAATTCTAATGGGTTAGCCGAGCTAGCAGCACAACGTGTTTGCGAAGCATATCTGCTCGTTGAATCCCAAGAGAGGTGTGCGAGAAAGGGAGCACGGAAAGAGCAAAGGCCTGCTGTTGTCTCTTGTCACCATGGAGAGAAATGGACAGAGTAATTGCGTTGTTCCAGAGCCTGAGGAATCCCATCAGCCAGGAGCTGGTGCTGTCAGAGGACATAAAGATGCCACTAAAAACTTAACTCTCCACTGACATGTTGGGTGGCTCGGGCCTGCACAAAACGACAGGGGAAAAGACAGATAGATTAACCATGGTGGGGTGCAGATGAGAGCGAAAGTGCTTCGGAGAGGGTTTGGGAAACAGCCAGCTGAGATGAGGGCTGAGTGTGTCTGTTGCCAAGATTGTGTATGATGGATGTGAAAGAAGTCGAAATAAATGCTCAGGGTTGCTTAATTCTTTCGCCGTCTACTCCACTCTGGGAAATACCGGGGGTTTGCTAAATGAAGCTTATTTTCTCTCATTGTCAGTAAGTGCACCTTTTTTGGCTATTTTTATAGATTGAGGCATTAAGGAAATTAGTTCATCGCTGCTGGAAAAACAAGGTGATGCTAGCTTCAGGTAGTTTTTAAACATTTTAGCTGGTTTTTGGCTGATCTAAGGTAGTTTACCAGCTCTAACCAGCTTGACTAGCAGTGTTCCGTAAAATTGAAGAATTGTCTGTCTGCCTGTCTGTCTATATATATATATATTCATCCTATATCTATATCCAAAATGTTGGTCAGATTTTAACCTTTGTCTCCGGCATGAGCTCCATAACACGTAGGGATCACCTGCTGCATCACAGCTCTGACAATAAGTACACATTTAATAGAAATCCACACGGGTCTAACAGAAGCGGGAATTTGACAACTTTCTTCTCTTTGTTAACTTCAGAAAGGGCTTAACATTGCCTGAGGAGCTCTCTTGTTAGCCGTTATCATTGCCCTATATGATAGGTGGGCTATTTGATCTCAGTGCACCAGCTCTCTGCACAATTAACGTTGCTGCATGAAGAGAAGTCGGGTTTCGGAGCTCCATACATCTCTCCAGCAGGGAGAGTTAATTGTGTTTTGAAAAATGGGCCTGGTTGCATGACTGCGACCTCTACTACTGTCTGTTCTCACCGGTTTGAGATCCCGCCCGGCTCGGAGACTTCCAACTTTCTGACACCTTTTGTTTGTAACTCAATTAGAGTGTATTTTAAAGATCTATTCCGTGCAGCACACTAGGCATGCTTTTTCCGAGAACTGTCCTCTGAAACATTCCTATTCCAATTTTCTTAAATGGACTGGGGGATTGCGTGTTGGGTCTTCGCAACACAAGAAAAACACCATTCGCAGCTAAGGTGTTTGCGTTAGTGTGAAACCAAAAAGTGTCAAGTCTGTAATGTTGCAAAAGAAAGGGCAGGTAACGCAAGCAACGTCAGGCATCACAAGCTAGGTGTTACCCGGTCCTAGGGCTGGACGATATGGCAAACATTTATATCACGATATATTTCTTAATTTCGGTCGATACGATATAATTCCGATATCGATATGAACACTATTAAAAAAGCCTCGTAAATATCGCGATAAATATTGATATTGAATTATTGTCCAGCCCTACCCGTTCCCCAAGCACACTCTAACATACTCAACAAATCACACAGTACCTCCTCTTCAATCTCCCCGTGGGACACAAAACCCACAACCGGTCATCTCCCAATTCCCTCTTTTCCAGTTCTGAGCTTCCTCTTTGTCTCCTGTACGTTTGAAGTCCTCTGAAGTGCTTTCACATGGGCCTGATCTCTTGTCTTCTTCTCTTCTCTTCCAGATGGTCACAAGAACAAAGAAAATATTTGTAGGCGGATTATCAGCTAACACAGTAGTTGAAGATGTGAAGCAGTATTTTGAACAGTTTGGCAAGGTAAGATCTCATTTTCCTTTTTCCCTTTGGCTAATTTCATGGAGAGATGTTTGCATATGATGAGAAACGCTGTCCCTCAAGAGACCCTTTCAAGACTTTCAAACAGGCCGTTTGAGATGTGGCCATTTGGAGATGAAAGACCAGTGTTTGCTTGGTCTCTGTCGTCCACTGGATGTAGTAGGTCCTGGACCTTTTGCTTAAAGCTGCCGTGTGTAATCGGTCTGAATATTTACTTAACCAATGATGTGTTCGTTTCTGACTTTATGGATAGATATTAACCCCCTGGGGTCGACAGTTCCGGCGGCGGAACTTTTTGCAGATTTGAATGTTGACAGCGAAAAGAACTAAAATGCTCCTTCATACTTGATCGTACATATAAGAGTAATACAGCATTTCAATCTGTAAAGGGTCTACTTTTATTTGTGTACACTCACAATATCAACAAAACATTGTGCTTTTGCAAAATAAAGAAAATATACAGGGTGTGCTTTTAGCCGTCTCATTCTCCGCGCATATCTGTTTGAAACGCGTCACTAAAATGAACTGAAACTCAGCGAATATTTGACACACACACATGAGAGATATGTCTATAGAAAGCTTAACATGTCTACTTTTAAACGAAGTAAGTCATGACGAAAACAAATATTATGTGACAAAGTAATCAGTATGAAACCAACGCGATGTCAAGTCTTGGCCGTCGCCCTCATTATCGTATGTAAACTGACTCAATGTTCCGACAGTGTCAAAGAGAAAGTACGCACTAAATCAAGGGACATCATTTACATAAAAAGCATTTAAGGAACAATTACACTTTGCCTAGAGAAAATTAAGCCCATTTTAGGACCGTTAAGCATCTTAACTGCCACAAAAATAGGCTTCATTTTTCTTTCTTTTGATTTTGAGGGGAAATATGATGCAGGCATGTTCTTGACAGGGTTCGTGAGATTCACTCATGAGGATCATCAACCCATTACTAAACCCCTGACTGACAGGAATAGTCACGGCAAAAACTCTCTTTGCACAAAGAAGTAATGGTAATCTGAGAACTGTGTCTGTGCGTGTGTTAGGTAAAATGACATTTCATCAAACTATAAAGAGCAGGTTATGACTATGAGGCACAACAGATCATTCTAAGAACAGACATGAGAAGTAAAGATATAGGTGTATATACATTAAAGCTCTGTCCATCTGTAACCCATGTCACTTCCATGATGTAACATTTTATTTCAGAGTGAAACAGGATATTCAGTAAGAAATTTGAAAAAGACTTAGTTTTCTCCATCTGTAAGGGCCTGTTTACGCCTGGTCACTTAATGTGTTTTTAGTGATCTGATTTGTTCAAATGGTTCCATTTACATTTGGCCACATAAATGTGTCGTCGCAAAACGGATATAAATCCGATCTTCAATTACCGCACTATATTTAAACGGAGTTCAGATAAGTGCTGCATTTTATTAATCATCAGCTCATTTCAAGATCAAAGACCACAATAGGAGAGCGCGTGGCATCAGCACTGGAAAGATAAGTTTGTCTTACTACTTTTAATGAAAATGATTGTGTGTTGACCGTCTGCGTCTTACTTTCAGTTTCATTCGCAGCAGTTTGCACGTCGGCTTGCTGAAGAGATACTCAGCTACTCGTCCGTAGCGATGTGTGTTGCATTAGCGCAGTCTGACTAATGTCATATAGCCTATAACACGCTCACACATTTATTATTTTATCATTTTGGGAGGAGTAAAATTTACATATGTGGTTTCAACAACCAGATGCATTTACACTTGTCCAGTTTCGTCTGGAATGCCACCTGGTCTTTTCACGATCAGATAGCTGTCCGATCAGAAAAAAACGCATGAAGTGACCAGGTGTAAACAGGCCCATGTTACACACCATGCGTTCTCTTTCTCAACTATTTAACGTTCCAAAACTGACTGTGTTTAACTGGATACTTGCCAAGATGGGCATTTTGACATAATTTTGTATGTATTCTAACGTTTTAGCGCAGTTAGCCACTAATTTTGGTATTTGTGGCTCACAAGCTGTTTGAGACTGAGCTTGTGCGCTCCACTAATATTGATCATTTCTGGTGCGCGCGCTTTTGGTGTAAGCGCGAAACTTGCGGGAATGACTAAAATAATGCGCAATACAAGCATTTAACCGGAGCAAATGAGACGTGTGTGAGAGAGAGAAGGGGTCGTCGGAGAGAAGAGAGCGAGAATGCGCGGCTGACGTTATTGCCTGTGCCGCTGGTAACAAAACGGATCGGCTCTGAATCGGAAAGAAGTGAGATCATGAGGAAAATCGTCCGATTCCGATCCCTGGCCGATCGATCGGTGCATCTCTAATTCTTATACATAAGCTTTTGATTTTTGATTTGATTCCCATTTTAATTCAATTTGATTTGATTCATTTGGGTATATTTTTGCCCATTTAGCTAACATATTCTTCAATATAGAAATAACATCTTTTTCTACTAATGCTGTAATTTATACAGGGCAGTAGGGCCTATTTCAGACTGATTCAAACCGATAACATTTTTAAATGAAAAGAACCGACTCATAAGAGTAATTTGTTTTGTGTTGTATGTTGTATGGTTTTGAGTCACTAAAAATTACTGAATAACATAAGAGTCATTTGTTATTATCGTGTATAAACTGAGTACAGGCATAGAGTAAAAGACTTTGGCTTTTATGAATCAGTATCTGTAAAATCTGAAAAAGTATCTGAAAATCTAAATTTTTATCTGACATGTTTTGTAAGCCTAATATCTACCATACACATGCAGAAGATTGATAGTCAACCTGTATATTTGTATGGCCCAGATGAACTTTTCTGTTTGCTGTGCGATATGACTTTGAGTAAGTTCGATGTCTCTCTCTATTTCAGACTCTGTATAAATACCTAGCTCCATTTGTTTGTAATCAGCTGTGTCTGAGTGGACCTAACACACACTTGACTTGATTGAAGGGCTCAATTATGCAGATGTTTTACTTGCCCTGTGCTGTACGTCTTGCCCTGGGGGTGTTTTCACCAGCGCCAGCGCTGGCAGTAGACAACCGCTAAATCATTGTGATTAAAGGAACGGTGGAGGATTTGTAGCTTCTTAGGTCACAAGACTATATTAGTCTTACCACAGCCTGGTTTATTGAGCCGTACTTGTCTGCCGTCCTTACATAAAGCTGTAGATCGTTATTTTGAATGGGCAGCGTGATCCAATAACGCTAAAGACCTCAGCGCTCAGTGTCTCGTTGTTTATAAGTTGCGAAGCAAACACGCAGTCTAATGAAATGTCTGTCTCTCAAGACAAGAAAATTACAAATTGACCGTCCGTTGAATGCACACTTGTGAGTAAAGACGAAACGAGCCTTCAAAGCGAGTTGTCAGAAGGTTGGATTTGCTGCAAACTCTTGATGACTCTGCAAGTTCGCCCACCTGGAGGTTTTGCCACACTGTGGTGTCAGTTGAGCTGATCCCCGGAGGTTTGTGTGTGTGTGTGCGTGGGGCCGTGTGTGTAGGCCAATTAACAGTGTCTCCTGGCGAGCAGTGGGTAGTGAGAGAACGAGGATCCTGGGAGGAGAGCAGGTGGCATGGGGCAGCAGGGTCACAAGATCTGTCTCCTTAGAAGCTGTGTTCTTCCTGAGCACTTTTTCTGTGCTATGACAGCTTGCACACTTACGCACACACACACACACACACACACACACACACACACACACACACACACACACACACACACACACACACACACACACACACACACACACACACACACACACACACACACACACACACACACACACACACACACACACACACACACACACACACACACACACACACACACACACACACACACACACACACACACACACTTAAGCAGCACTAAGGGGCATTTATTGCGCAACACTGCAGAATTAAGATTTTAAAAGCTTTTCCACAAAGGCTCTTTAAGTTAGATCCACTTTTCATTAGCATACAGTTATTTCATGCTAATGTGGCATGTTGCCTTTTTACATTTAGAAGAAGGCATGCCTAAATAATTTCACTTGTTTTCTCTGAAACAATTTATGTGTGTATAGACAACAGACTTGGCATGGTTTGATTATAAATCTCGGCAAGATATTTTGTACATTCTACATGATGAGAACATAAAAGGCTGCCTCGCTCCCCGCATAAACCTTCATGTGTCCTAATTACATAGGGTGGCTTATGCTTAGTAATAGGTTTATTGTAATCGGCTTGGAGTAGATCTCCAAACAAAGTGCACTTATTCTGCTAAGTTGAAACAACTCCTGTTTACTTCATTACCACCCTCCCCACTCCCTCTCTCTCTACCTCTCTCACTTTAGTGTTCGCTGTGCTGCTGTGGCCAGGCTTTAGTTTCATTAGGCCTGAGAGTTGTTTCCAAGCCAGTGCTCTGCCACAAGAAGCCGAGAAAATTATCACATTTTGATTTAAAGTAGTTATTAATAGTAAGACCAGGGAAATTTATTTAGAATGTAAATAAGGTCAATTTTGGTTTCATGTTGTGTTTAAAAGCGAGGTATCCAACAGAAAATCATCTGGTTGATTTTGAAAATCAATGTTCATTCTTCACAAAGCATAATTTTCTCCACAGAGCATCTTGCTCTCTATTCTTGACATAGAGTACGTTTTCATTTTCTCTGTGGTAGTTTTGACTCATGACTCACTGACCAGCCCACATTGAAGGCTGGATGAACTAAACCGTAATCATCAGTTTGGTGACAAACTGTGTATTGTCATGTTTCTGTAATGAAATGTCACAATTTTGTCTTTCTCTTAGCTTCAATATTCAGTGAGGACAGTGGGCTGCCTGTAATGACTGCATTCTGAACACTCACTGTTAGTTAATTTAGCATACCTGGTGAACCGCTAACATTTAATAACGGCATTCGATTTACCTCAGGCTTGGGTAATAAAAACAGTGCACTGAGCCCTTAAAGTATGATTTGATAAGCTTGTTTAACAAGAGGTGTTTGTGA